CTGGTTAGACTGAGTGCAATTAAATTAATGTTTCATTTTCGAGTGATTACATATGTTTATAAGATACTATTTAACAAAAAATCTAAGTTTTCTGCTTTTGTCGATAGCTTTTTTAATTACCTATAACTTTTTTCAATTTTTATAACTTTCGCACTAACTTTCTAGAATATAAAAATTATTGAAACAATGATAAGAATCGTAAAAAGCTTATACAAATTGATCTGGCCCAAATATACCGTTCTCTATTTTATATAGGTACCTATTTACTTAAGTGACGTAAATCGGGATCATTTACATGTCTGCGCTATTCTGAATGAAAGTTAAGTGTGGAAAGCAGTTTTTCTTGTACCTGCCATATCTCATTACAGTGCAGTTGTTAATGATACTCCAGGAATTCCCTAGAGATATCCGAGAAATATTCCTCATGAAACATTGCAGGGAACAATGTATATTTCGGATCTATTCACCTTATTACCTTATCACCTATTTACTTGTTATAATTAAATCACATAGTGAAACATTTGAAAAATGTTGTGTATAAAAATTGTAATTTTTTTTATAAAATCCCATTTTTGGGAATATCCCTGACAATTTTCAAATTTAAATTTCCTTTTCCTAGAATTTACGTATCCACTAGTCGTTATACCATCGGGTGATATTACAAAAAATTTACGACTCGAGAGATGGTGAATAATATTGTTCAACCTACAACAAACACTGCGATAACTAAAACACGTATATTATATATATTATGTATATAGATATGGTATATGACTAATAACGCCAATGAAATTCAATACGTGTATGAAATGTAGGTATACAGCTATAGTAATATAATATGTAAACGCATCATCCGTCTGTCGCCGAGCTGTCTAATTTATATAATAATATTATACGGTTATTGGCAGCCGTAGTACAGTTGTTCGCAATCGGACGATTCGACACCGAGATAGCGCAATTTACTTGCAATCTGGTGCCTACACACACACACACATACTCACACGCAAACATGACATCATGAATAAATCTGCAGGTCTTATYCGATAAAATTCACCGCTGCTACCGGTTTCTGCTGCTGCTGGAGATAATATCGATCCGATCGGTTGGTCGTTCGTCATTATAATAATCGTCGGTCGTATAATACGCGATTCCGTTTTAATGGCATGCATTTTATAATTATTATTATTATAATACGAAAAACTATACACATACACACAACATTATCCTGCGGTGTACGGGGTCGCGCCAGCAGTGAAATTTCAACGATCTGTACTTTATAATAACGCGTATTAGGTACAATATATTATGTATACAGTGTATTATAATGTGGAGGTATATTATTATAAAGTRTGTGTACACTTCGACCGCGAATAATATATTAGACCAGCAGCTGTTGACGGGCGGGTGTTGGATGTGGTGGAGSTGGTGGTCTACATRTATAGATACATATTATAATATTATTATAAATGCAAGTGTCGGCGACCGACCGGCCGGTAGCTTACCAATATAGGTAATAATATATAATATAGGTATGCGCTATAAATCGTATCCTTTCGTATAAGTATAATATGTGTATAATAATATACGTAGGTATATACACCTATAATAAATAAATATATAAACAAACGACCTCCGGTGGAAATATTTTTTTTTCTTTTNTTTTTTTTTTAATTTAAAAAGAAAATGAACGAATAAAAAATTATTGTAGTGTAGGGATTTTAAATTATTTATTAACTTTTTGAATAAAACACATTTATCAAAACAAACATAGAACAATATTATTAAATATATTTTTTTCTTTATTTGCAATAAAAATCTATACTTTAAGGATACAATTGGATTATGCGATTAGAGTAGAAATCATACCTATTAGCTTAATTAATCACAAACACATTCAACAGTAAAAAATAAAACACATACAGGTACTTTGCTGTAAGCAATTAATTACACTCACTGTTGACAATAATTATACATATAGAAAAAAGTTGTAAATCCACAATAGAATGTGTATATACTATAAGCCTAAGGGCTTAGCAAGATTTAAGTTTTCGTTGAAGAATTTTCATATCATTTTAAATAAAATTTAAAAATATATTCACAGGTAGCTGAGTGTCACCTAGAGGGTCGTGAATGTATTATGGTTACCAGTGGAGCAGTGGCATTTGGAAAACAAAAGTTGACCCACGAATTATTAATGTCGTTGAGTATGCGAGAGACACTGTCGCCTAATGACCACGCTAGAAAAGATGTTAGGACATTGCTGAAGGCTAGAGCTGCAGCGGCTGTGGGTCAATCCGGGCTCATGTCTTTGTACGATGCCATGTTTTCACAATACGGTGTTAAGATCGCTCAGGTCTTAGTCACCAAGCCTGATTTCTACAACGACGAGACACGGAAAAACCTATTCAGCACGTTGTCGGAACTAATCAGTATGAATATCGTTCCCATTATCAACACGAACGACGCAGTGACACCTCCGCCACAGAATGACGACCTCATTAAATCTAAAGGAAAGAAGGTTGGTTAATTATAAACATTTAAACACCTGTTTAAAAGCAATAGGTATATTAATTAATGCTTATGTTCAGAATATTATTCTGTTATCATCATTGTTTTAATTCACGTTACAAAGGCTATTATGAGACTTGCTACAATAGAAGCTCTTTGTGTTTGACATTTATATTTTTTAAACGCACTCATAAGACTATTTTTATATAACATATTTTATATATATATTTGTATCTTAACGCTATGTAGGTTATCAGCATCAAGGATAATGACAGTTTGGCCGCTATGTTAGCTGCCGAAGTCAATGCAGACTTACTCATTTTGATGTCGGATGTGGACGGTATCTTTACGCGACCACCAAAACAGGAAGGGGCGAAAATGATTTGGACATACAACAGCGATATGGCGGACGTTATACAGTTTGGCAAAAAGTCAACTGTCGGTACAGGGGGCATGGATTCCAAGGTGAACTGACTTCATTTAATTAACATTTACAACATTTTAAAAATATATAGGTTAAATAAAACAATTTATTGCGCTATAACGTTGATCATTAATAGTATAGTAATTGTGTCTCGGATTATATTAGATATTGAACTAGTTAGGTGCTGCATATACTATGTTGTAGTTACCTAAGTAATATGAACTTAATACAATACAAACGAAAAAAAATTAAAAACCAAATATTAAGAATACGTAGGTAACACTGTTTCATAAATATCACTTTTGTGTAATTTGACATTWATTCAGTTGTTTCTTTTGATATTGTTGATAGAATAATATTATCGTAAACATTTTTCCCTTCATACTACGACAGAAAAATTAGTCGTTTCGATGAAGTAAAATTAATGTCGTATACATT